CAGACCATTTGTCTGATTTTGTTCAAATAATCTAGAACTGATTCTAGACATTAGAAAATCTAAATATAAACAAAACAGAAAACTGAGGTTCATATATCGTTGTAAGTAGTTAAAACAATAAACGTTACATTTTACTACCATTCCTCACCCCATCACACCTCCTTCCCCATTTGACACGCAAAGTTTCCGAGAGCCAACACAAAACATGCTGTTTTAAAAAGCAAACAACATTAAGCTGAGATTAACGGGTCAATTTAACTTGGAATTGTTTACCTTTTAACAAAATATAGTTATTGCTCGATGCTACTTATGGACGAATTGTGCTGAAATCTTGGCAAAACCGGTCTGTTTACCCTCAAAGAAGTTTTTAATCATTTGCTGTAAGATTACTGGTTTGTTAATGTAACCCTGTCACCGACTAGATCTCGAGTTAATCATGATTGTCTGATTTCTTTCCTGTGCCATGACAGTACAATAATGCGCCATAACTATCCAGCTCCTGACAACATATCAAACATAGACTTCTCTTATTTTTAATATGCAGGTATCACTATTGGCGTCCTCATTCCGAATTCTCCCTACTTTAACCATTACCTGAAATATCGAGTTTTAGACTTCACCAAACCATTGTATTCCCAGCATGCTTTTATACACTTGAAACTATTTTCTTGTGTTAATTCAATATTCAAGGCAATATTTTTTTCTTTATGATACTCATTGTTCATGCCTAAGATAAAGATTTTGAAAAATGCAATCAAACACTCTGTGCCGTCATACATTTGTTAATTCATGAGTTAAATTTCCTAACATTAAAATTGACAAGTGAACGTTAGCTCCAAGTGATTTAACAATCGGTTGTGTAGATTTTATCAGTGGTCATACAGTACATTGCCGACTTAAGATTCGGAAGTTGATTGAACTGTCATTGTACAGTAGGCTTATCACTATCTGACCACAGAACGGTCAGGTCAGAATTTCTTCATGTCGGGACGTTTGGTAGACTCGGCTATCGGCAGGCTATTCTGTTCCAAGAATTATATTGTCAATTGAAGACAAATCGTGTCCAGTGTTTAATATGTTTGTACGTATAAAATATTCATATGAGATTATCCTGAAATCCTATAACATAGGATGAGTTATTATTAAATCTACATTATTGACCGATAATTGATGTTCCCGCCAGACCACAACCCCTACAACGAGGAACAGACTATGTAACATTGTAGCCATAAAACGGAATAAGAAACATTATCTGTATACTACTAGATAAACTTTTTTCAAATAATTACACTTTTATTACTTTGATATAGATGTAAGAAAAATATAAATACGATGATAAAATGTTAAATAGTAGACAGTTGATTAATTGTACTCAATTTAATCAAAATTAATACTCATTTACATATTTGGAAAAAATAGTGTGCATTGTATTTCAATGAATAAATTGTTTTGATTGAAAGCACTCTTGTACTTGGATGTTATGTGTATCATAATTTTGATAATAAGATTTCTAAACTGTCAAAAAACCCAACAAAAACACACCAGATGTACGCACGACTGTTCGCAAACATTTGTTTTTGGATATGAATGACGTAACAACATAATGTATAATAAAACAGGCATAAAAAGATAAAGTTTCTTTTTATATCTATGTAAACCGCGGGACCGCAAAAATTACTTAGGCGCATGGTCATCCCTTCTCATTGCTTTTTATATCAGTTTCCCTATCTTGTCTATTCTATCTTCTGGTTACATTTTCATTATAGCAGTCACAAAAACACAGGGTTAAAAAGTCTTTAATAGGTTCCTATGTTAAGGTTCTTAGCTGAAGGACAAGGTCAATGGCATGATGATATTTATAGAGATAATCGCCGAGTAATGTGTTGGAGAGCTGGGAAATTCATGTCTCACCGATATTTTTGGTTTTGAACTCTATTTATATATTATTATAGATAAAGATAAAAAACTACACAATTAAGGTGACATTTTATTTATATATCAGAAAGCTGAACATTCTTTGAACACACTGTAAATACATTGTAAAATTCTGTACCTCTAATATACGTTCTAATGTTTATATTGCATCTTTTCCAAAAAAAATAGTACGATATTCTATGTATACATATCACGGTTATTCTTTAATGCTTAGCATAACAGATAGAATTTATCCCGTTCTGGTTGATGTACCATAGTATGAACGGCAGAACCCGGATAATTGATCCCGTTCTAGTTGATTTACCATAGTTGAACGGCAGAACCCGGATAATTGATCCCGTTCTAATTGATGTACCATAGTTGAACGCCAGAACCCGGATAATTGATCCCGTTCTAGTTGATGTACCATAGTATGAACGGCAGAACCCGGATAATTGATCCCGTTCTAATTGATGTACCATAGTTGAACGGCAGAACCCGGATAATTGATCCCGTTCTGGTTGATGTACCATAGTATAAACGGCAGAACCCGGATACTTAATCCCGTTCTGGTTGATGTACTATAGTGTGACCGGCAGAACCCGGATACTTAATCCCGTTCTGGTTGATGTACTATAGTGTGACCGGCAGAATCCAGATACTTATCCCGTTCTGGTTGAAGTACTATAGGTTGAAGGGCAGGGCCCAGGTAACATAGAATTATATAATAATGAAGGGTTCGTACAATAGACTTAAGATACAAATAACGTAGGGTCCTTATTAACAATAAATTATGGTGGAATATATATATATAAAAGTGTGAACAACACAGGGTTACTTTTAACATTAAAATAGATGTGATGATTAGAACATTGCACGGTCAATTTTACAGACATAAATGACTGAAAAGCAAAATGTTATTGTTTTCCAAAAGGAGCTAATGATATCATAGCTATGAGCTGTACAATGTATGCGATTAGTTTCAGCGAGTATTTTGGTAACCGTTAAAATTAACAAACGAGAGTGAAAATAGCGTGTACGACAGTCTCGAGTTCGTGTCACCTGTTTCTACCACGAAATGTAAAAAGCGAAGTTCAATATTTTTGCTCACGGGTGCAGCACAGCGTCCGTGCCAGACAAACGAGTAACCCTCGATCACTTCACATATTGGTGACATGGGATGAGGTATTGGTTCACATATTGGTGACATGGGATGAGGTATTGGTTCACATATTGGTGACAAGAGATGGCGTATTAATTCACATATTGGTGACATGAGATGACGTTTTGGTTCAAATGCTATTAACATGAGATGACGTATTGGTTCACATGCTATTAACATGAGATGACGTATTGATTCACATATTGGTGACATGAGATGACGTATTGGTTCACATATTGGTGACATGAGATGACGTATTGGTTCACATATTGGTGACATGAGATGACGTTTTAGTTCACATATTGGTGACATGAGATGACGTTTTGGTTCACATATTGGTGACATGAGATGACATATTAATTCACATATTGGTGACATGAGATGACGTATTGGTTCACATATTGGTGACATGATAACACGTATTAGTTCACACGCTATTGTTAAGACATGACACCAGTTCACAAATTGTTATACCCTGTAGATTCAGTTCCTTTATATTTATATAGAGAAAGAAAGGTCAAAAGTTTAACTGTTTTGTTCACCGATCCAAATGGACTGTTAAAATCGACTGTTGACCGCTTTACGGAAACATACGAGTACGCCCGAGTGATAACGATGTTTTATTTACATTAGAGTGATCTTCTCTTATCGTCTGCACAACAAAAATGGCAACCAGTAGGCCTAGTGACGCCGACAGATTCGGTCTGGCATCGGAGGAGGAAATACAGCGAATCTTTGTGAAGGATATAACAAAACAGTTATTGACTGGGGTTGAAGGGTTGAGCAAACTGTTGCCCTCGGCCTTGGGCAACAGTTTGCCTTCGGGTTCAACAGATCATCTGTTGCCCTCAACCCCAGTCAATAAATGCATACTGTTGAAAAGAGATGACGTATTGGTTCACATACTGTTGACACGAGATGAAGTTCATCAGTTAACATATTCTTGACATGAGATAACGTTCATCAGATCACATACTGTTGATACAAGATAACGTCCATCAGTTCACATACTGTTGATACAAGATAACGTTCATCAGATCACATACTGTTGATACAAGATAACGTTCATCAGTTCACATACTGTTGATACAAGATACGTGTTGATACAAGATAACGTCCATCAGTTCACATACTGTTGATACAAGATAACGTTCATCAGATCACATACTGTTGATACAAGATAACGTTCATCAGATCACATACTGTTGATACAAGATAACGTTCATCAGTTCACATACTGTTGATACAAGATAACGTTCATCAGTTCACATACTGTTGATACAAGATAACGTTCATCAGTTCACATACTGTTGATACAAGATAACGTTCATCAGTTCACATACTGTTGATACAAGATAACGTTCATCAGTTCACATACTGTTGATACAAGATAACGTCCATCAGTTCACATACTGTTGATACAAGATAACGTCCATCAGTTCACATACTGTTGATACAAGATAACGTTCATCAGTTCACATACTGTTGATACAAGATAACGTTCATCAGTTCACATACTGTTGATACAAGATAACGTTCATCAGATCACATATCGTTTACATGAGATGACTTATTATCTAAAACAATATCATTTTTTAAATCATCTTAATAATTCAGTAAATCTGTAACGCGTTGTTCTTTAAGGCGACGTACAAAGCGTTGACATGACGTCGGTCATAATTGCGCCAAAATGACGTCATGTCATTATATTAGGGGCCACACTACATCAATACACTTTTGAATACAATTCACATTAACGTTGAATTAATGGGAGGCCATCATGCGAAGTGTAAATCGACGTATTAGTTCACATAATGTTGACAAGAGATGACGTATTAGTCCACATAATATTGACAAGAGATGACGTATTAGTCCACACAATGTGCTCACGGGATACCATCTGTATGTATATCTTAGTGTTGAATCATATCTGTATTTCCTGCTTACTAGGCAATGCCAATACGACAACATTATTATCCTTTAGAACCCGACTCGACCTCAGTGATTTACGTCTCTGAAAAATCAAACAGATTTTCTTGGTTTTGTACTCTAGTTTGGTCAGTTAAATCTACATTATCAACATTTGTACTGATATCTTTAATGCACATCCATCTATCTAATGTCAGTATGGACACCGTTAATACACGTCTATCTATCTAATGTCAGTATGGACACCGTTAATACACGTCTATCTATCTAATGTCAGTATGGACACCGTTAATACACGTCTATCTATCTAATGTCAGTATGGACACCGTTAATACACGTCTATCTATCTAATGTCAGTATGGACACCGTTAATACACGTCTATCTATCTAATGTCAGTATGGACACCGTTAATACACGTCTATCTATCTAATGTCAGTATGGACACCGTTAATACACGTCTATCTATCTGATGTCAGTATGGACACCGTTAATACACGTCTATCTAATGTCAGTATGGACACCGTTAATACACGTCTATCTATCTAATGTCAGTATGGACACCGTTAATACACGTCTATCTATCTAATGTCAGTATGGACACCGTTAATACACGTCTATCTATCTAATGTCAGTATGGACACCGTTAATACACGTCTATCTATCTAATGTCAGTATGGACACCGTTAATACACGTCTATCTATCTAATGTCAGTATGGACACCGTTAATACACGTCTATCTATCTAATGTCAGTATGGACACCGTTAATACACGTCTATCTATCTAATGTCAGTATGGACACCGTTAATACACGTCTATCTATCTAATGTCAGTATGGACACCGTTAATACACGTCTATCTATCTAATGTCAGTATGGACACCGTTAATACACGTCTATCTATCTAATGTCAGTATGGACACCGTTAATACACGTCTATCTATCTAATGTCAGTATGGACACCGTTAATACACGTCTATCTATCTAATGTCAGTATGGACACCGTTAATACACGTCTATCTATCTAATGTCAGTATGGACACCGTTAATACACGTCTATCTATCTAATGTCAGTATGGACACCGTTAATACACGTCTATCTATCTAATGTCAGTATGGACACCGTTAATACACGTCTATCTATCTAATGTCAGTATGGACACCGTTAATACACGTCTATCTAATGTCAGTATGGACACCGTTAATACACGTCTATCTATCTAATGTCAGTATGGACACCGTTAATACACGTCTATCTATCTAATGTCAGTATGGACACCGTTAATACACGTCTATCTATCTAGTGTCTTGAACGTAATTTGAATAGAGCAATTAAAAATCATTTCTTCCTTGATAACTTAAAAAACTGGACACAAGCTAATTTTGAACGGTACTGATTAAACTGAATTATTTATACTGATTAAACTACTGAATTATTTATACTGATTAAACTACTGAATTATTTATACTGATTAAACTGAATTATTTATACTGATTAAACTACTGAATTAACTACTGAATTATTTATACTGATTAAACTACTGAATTATTTATACTGATTAAACTGAATTATTTATTTATAATTATTTATACTGATTAAACTACTGAATTATTTATACTGATTAAACTGATTAATACTATTTATACTGAAAACTTTATTTATACTGATTAAACTGAATTATTTATACTGATTAAACTGAATTATTTATACTGATTAAACTACTGAATTATTTATACTTAATTATTTATACTGATTAAACTGAATTATTTATACTGATTAAACTACTGAATTATTTATACTGATTAAACTACTGAATTATTTATACTGATTAAACTGAATTATTCATACTGATTAAACTGAATTATTTATACTGATTAAACTACTGAATTATTTATACTGATTAAACTACTGAATTATTGATACTGATTAAACTACTGAATTATTTATACTGATTAAACTGAATTATTTATACTGATTAAACTGAATTATTGATACTGATTAAACTGAATTATTTATACTGATTAAACTGAATTATTTATACTGATTAAACTGAATTTATACTGATTAAACTACTGAATTATTTATACTGATTAAACTACTGAATTATTTATACTGATTAAACTACTGAATTATTGATACTGATTAAACTGAATTATTTATACTGATTAAACTACTGAATCATTGATACTGATTAAACTACTGAATTATTGATACTGATTAAACTACTGAATTATTGATACTGATTAAACTGAATTATTTATACTGATTAAACTACTGAATTATTTATACTGATTAAACTACTGAATTATTTATACTGATTAAACTACTGAATTTTTTATTACTGAATTAAACTGAATTATTTATACTGATTAAACTAATTAATTATTGATTAAACTGAATTAAACTACTGAATTATTTATACTGATTAAACTACTGAATTATTTATACTGATTAAACTACTGAATTATTTATACTGATTAAACTGAATTATTTATACTGATTAAACTATTAACTGAATTATTTATACTGATTAAACTACTGAATTATTTATACTGATTAAACTATTAAACTACTGAATTATTTATACTGATTAAACTACTGAATTATTTATACTGATTAAACTATTTATACTGAATTATTTTATTTATACTGATTAAACTACTGAATTATTTATACTGATTAAACTACTGAATTATTTATACTGATTAAACTACTGAATTACTGATTAAACTTAATTTTTATACTGATTAAACTGAATTATTTATACTGATTAAACTACTGAATTATTTATACTGATTAAACTACTGAATTATTTATACTGATTAAACTGAATTAAATACTGAATTATTTATACTGATTAAACTACTGAATCATTGATACTGATTAAACTACTGAATTATCTATACTGATTAAACTGAATTATTTATACTGATTAAACTACTGAATTATTTATACTGATTAAACTACTGAATTATTTATACTGATTAAACTACTGAATTAATTAAACTACTGAATTATTTATACTGATTAAACTACTGAATTATTTATACTGATTAAACTATTAAACTGAATTATTTATACTGATTAAACTACTGAATTATTTATACTGATTAAACAACTGAATTATTTATACTGATTAAACTACTGAATTATTCATACTGATTAAACTGAATTATTTATACTGATTAAACTACTGAATTATTTATACTGATTAAACTGAATTATTTATACTGATTAAACTACTGAATTATACTGATTAAACTACTGAATTATTTATACTGATTAAACTACTGAATTATTTATACTGATTAAACTACTGAATTATTTATACTGATTAAACTGATTAAACTGAATTATTTATACTGATTAAACTGAATTATTTAACTACTGAATTATTTATACTGATTAAACTACTGAATTATTTATACTGATTAAACTAATACTGATTAAACTACTGAATTTATTTATACTGATTAAACTGATTAAACTACTGAATTATTTATACTGATTAAACTACTGAATTATTTATACTGATTAAACTACTGAATTATTTATACTGATTAAACTACTGAATTATTTATACTGATTAAACTACTGAATTATTTATACTGATTAAACTACTGAATTAAACTGATTAAACTGAATTATTTATACTGATTAAACTACTGAATTATTTATACTGATTAAACTACTGAATTATTTATAAACTACTGATTATTGATAAACTGAACTACTTTATTTATACTGATTAAACTGAATTATTTATACTGATTAAACTGAATTATTTATACTGATTAAACTACTGAATTATTTATACTGATTAAACTACTGAATTATTTATACTGATTAAACTTTATTTATACTGATTAAACTGAATTATTTATTAAACTGATTAAACTGAATTATTTATACTGATTAAACTACTGAATTATTTATACTGATTAAACTACTGAATTATTTATACTGATTAAACTACTGAATTATTTATTAAACTGATTAAACTACTGAATTATTTATACTGATTAAACTACTGAATTATTTATACTGATTAAACTACTGAATTATTTATACTGATTAAACTGAATTATTTATACTGATTAAACTACTGAATTATTTATACTGATTAAACTACTGAATTATTTATACTGATTAAACTACTGAATTAATACTGATTAAACTGAATTATTTATACTGATTAAACTACTGAATTATTTATACTGATTAAACTACTGATTAAACTGATTAAACTGAATTATTTATAAACTGATTAAACTGATTAAACTGAATTATTTATACTGATTAAACTGAATTATTTATACTGATTAAACTACTGAATTTTCTATACTGATTAAACTACTGAATTATTTATACTGATTAAACTACTGAATTATTTATACTGATTAAACTACTGAATTATTATTTATACTGATTAAACTACTGAATTATTTATACTGATTAAACTTAATTATTTATACTGATTAAACTACTGAATTATTTATACTGATTAAACTACTGAATTATTTATACTGATTAAACTACTGAATTATTTATACTGATTAAACTACTGAATTATTTATACTGATTAAACTACTGAATTATTTATACTGATTTATACTGATTAAACTGATTAAACTACTGAATTATTTATACTGATTAAACTACTGAATTATTTATACTGATTAAACTACTGAATTATTTATACTGATTAAACTACTGAATTATTTATACTGATTAAACTACTGAATTATTTATACTGATTAAACTATGAATTACTTATACTGATTAAACTATTTATACTGATTAAACTACTGAATTATTTATACTGATTAAACTACTGAATTATTTATACTGATTAAACTACTGAATTATTTATACTGATTAAACTACTGAATTATTTATACTGATTAAACTACTGAATTATTTATACTGAATTATTTATACTGATTAAACTACTGAATTATTTGATTAAACTACTGAATTAAATTAAACTACTGAATTATTTATACTGATTAAACTACTGAATTAATACTGATTAAACTGAATTATTTATACTGATTAAACTACTGAATTATTTATACTGATTAAACTACTGAATTATACTGATTAAACTTGAATTATTTATACTGATTAAACTACTGAATTATTTATACTGATACTGATTAAACTGAATTATTTATACTTAAACTGAATTATTTATACTGATTAAACTATTGAATTATTTATACTGATTAAACTACTGAATTTTTTATACTGATTAAACTGAATTATTTATACTGATTAAACTACTGTATTTTCTATACTGATTAAACTACTGAATTATTTATACTGATTAAACTACTGAATTATTTATACTAATTAAACTACTGAATTATTTATACTGATTAAACTACTGAATTATTTATTTATACTGATTAAACTGAATTATTTATACTGATTAAACTGAATTATTTATACTGATTAAACTACTGAATTATTTATACTGATTAAACTACTGAATTATTTATACTGATTAAACTGAATTATTTATACTGATTAAACTACTGAATCATTCTATACTGATTAAACTACTGAATTATTTATACTGATTAAACTACTGAATTATTTATACTACTGAATTATTTAACTGAATTATTTATACTGATTAAACTACTGAATTATTTATACTGATTAAACTGAATTATTTATACTGATTAAACTTAATTATTTATACTGATTAAACTGAATTATTTATACTGATTAAACTACTGAATTATTTATACTGATTAAACTGAATTATTTATACTGATTAAACTACTGAATTATTTATACTGATTAAACTACTGAATTATTTATACTATTAAACTACTGAATTATTTATACTGATTAAACTACTGAATTATTTATACTGATTAAACTACTGAATTTTCTATACTGATTAAACTACTGAATTATCTATACTGATTAAACTGAATTATTTATACTGATTAAACTACTGAATTATTTATACTGATTAAACTACTGAATTACTTATATTGATTAAACTACTGAATTATTTATACTGATTAAACTTCTGAATCATTTATACTGATTAAACTACTGAATTTTTTATACTGATTAAACTACTGAATTTTTATACTGATTAAACTGAATTATTTATACTGATTATTTATTACTGATTAAACTACTGAATTATTTATACTGATTAAACTACTGAATTATTTATACTGATTAAACTACTGAATTATTTATACTGATTAAACTACTGAATTATTTATACTGATTAAACTGAATTATTGATACTGATTAAACTACTGAATTATTTATACTGATTAAACTACTGAATTATTGATACTGATTAAACTGAATTATTTATACTGATTAAACTACTGAATTATTGATACTGATTAAACTACTGAATTATCTATACTGATTAAACTGAAAACTGAATTATTTATACTGATTAAACTACTGAATTATTTATACTGATTAAACTACTGAATTATTTATACTGATTAAACTACTGAATTACTTATATTGATTAAACTACTGAATTATTTATACTGATTAAACTTCTGAATCATTTATACAGATTAAACTACTGAATTATTTATACTGATTAAACTACTGAATTTTTTATACTGATTAAACTGAATTATTTACTGATTAAACTACTGAATTTTTTATACTGATTAAACTATTGAATTTTTTATACTGATTAAACTGAATTATTTATACTGATTAAACTGAATTATTTATACTGATTAAACTACTGAATTATTTATACTGATTAAACTACTGAATTTTTTATACTGATTAAACTGAATTATTTATACTGATTAAACTACTGAATTATTTATACTGATTAAACTACTGAATTATTTATACTGATTAAACTACTGAATTTTTTATACTGATTAAACTGAATTATTTATACTGATTAAACTGAATTATTTATACTGATTAAACTGAATTATTTATACTGCTTAAACTGAATTATTTATACTGATTAAACTGAATTATTTATACTGATTAAACTACTGAATTATTTATACTGATTAAACTAATTATTTATACTGATTAAACTTATTGATACTGATTAAACTACTGAATTATTTATACTGATTAAACTGAATTATTTATACTGATTAAACTACTGAATTATTTATACTGATTAAACTACTGAATTATTTATACTGATTAAACTACTGAATTATTTATACTGATTAAACTGAATTATTTATATTGATTAAACTGAATTATTGATACTGATTAAACTACTGAATTATTTATACTGATTAAACTGAATTATTTATACTGATTAAACTACTGAATTATTTATACTGATTAAACTGAATTATTTATACTGATTAAACTGAATTATTTATACTTTTTAAACTACTGAATTATTTATACTGATTAAACTACTGAATTAATTATACTCACATCAACTTTCTTTCGGAATGGATTTTTAATTTTTTTGAAAGATCTTTTAGGGGGTTCCTCAGGTGGCTCTTCGTGCTAATAATAACAAAAATCATTATAGATTAATATAGAGAAATACACATGACTGTTCACAGAGTGTAAATCGTACATTTAACGAGAAAGTCGATATAGATGAATGTGACTATTGATTTAGTGGTGACATGGGGAAATATGGTGTGTGGTGGAGTAATCCTAATGGTGTGTAGTGATGGTGTGTAGTGATGGTGTGTAGTGATATGATAGTAATGGTGTGTAGTAATGGTGTGTAGTGATGGTGTGTAGAAATGGTGTGTAGTGATGGTGTGTAGTAATGGTGTGTAGTGATGGTGTTTAGTAATGGTTAGCAGTAATGGTGTGTAGTGATGGTGTGTAGTGATATGATAGTAATGGTGTAGTAATGGTGTGTAGTGATGGTGTGTAGTGATGGTGTGTAGTAATGGTGTGTAGTGATGGTGTGTAGTAATGGTGTATAGTGATGGTGTTTAGTAATGGTTAGTAGTAATTGTGTGTAGTGATGGTGTGTAGTGATATGATAGTAATGGTGTGTAGTGATATGATAGTAATGGTGTGTAGTAATATGATTGTAATGGTGTGTAGTGATATGATAGTGATGGTGTGTAGTGATATGATAGTGATGGTGTGTAGTAATATGATAGTAATGGTGTGTAGTGACATGATAGTAATGGTGTGTAGTGATGGTGTGTAGTGATATGATAGTATTGATGTGTAGTGACATGATAGTAATGGTGTGTAGTGACATGATAGTAATGGTGTGTAGTGATGGTGTATAGTAATATGATAGTAATGGTGTGTAGTGATGGTGTGTAGTAATATGATAGTAATGGTGTGTAGTGATATGATAGTAATGGTGTGTAGTAATATGATAGTAATGGTGTGTAGTGACATGATAGTAATGGTGTGTAGTAATATGATAGTGATGGTGTATAGTAATATGATAGTAATGGTGTGTAGTGATTGTGTGTAGTAATATGATTGTAATGGTGTGTAGTGATATGATAGTAATGGTGTGTAGTGATATGATAGTGATGGTGTGTAGTGATATGATAGTAATGGTGTGTAGTGATATGATAGTAATGGTGTGTAGTGATATGATAGTAATGGTGTGTAGTGATATGATAGTAATGGTGTGTAGGGATATGATAGTAATGGTGTGTATTGATTGTGTGTAGTAATATGATTGTAATGGTGTGTAGTGATATGATAGTAATGGTGTGTAGTAATATGATAGTAATGATGTGTAGTGACATGATTGTAATAGTGTGTAGTGATGGTGTGTAGTGATGGTGTGAAGTGATATGATAGTAATGGTGTGTAGTGATGGTGTGTAGTGATATGATAGTAATGATGTGTATTGACATGATAGTAATGGTGTGTAGTGACATGATAGTAATGGTGTGTAGTGATGGTGTGTAGTAATGGTGTGTACTGATGGTGTGTAGTAATGGTGTGTAGTGATATGATAGTGATGGTGTGTAGTGATATGATAGTAATGGTGTGTACTGATGGTGTGTAGTAATGGTGTGTAGTGATATGATAGTAATGGTGTGTAGTGATATGATAGTAATGGTGTGTAGTGATATGATAGTAATGGTGTGTAGTGATATGATAGTAATGGTGTGTAGTGATGGTGTGTAGTAATATGATATGATAACATTACACTGATTTAGATACCTGTTTTTCATGTCTCCCCTTTGGTGATGATCTTCCTATCGGCGGCTCTGTGGATACGAACACTTCCTGTTCCTCTAAGTCTGGTAGAAAAGCAGTAGATAGTGTCCATAGTAAACACGAGTATCTCAATATAGTTTACCAAATTCATTTTGGTTGCCAGCGTCACCAGACAACAAGGCCATCACTCAAAATCTCTCCTTATATCTAATCATTTTATTCCCCAAGTGTTTAAAGTGTTATTCACCCAGGCTCTGTTGGCACTGATCACAATAATGATCCAAATAGCATATCCTGATATTGACAGAAATCGTACATCGTGACTTATATGGTAACACCTACCTTCATAGGACATGATTGGACTGCAGGGAAAGCAACGTGACCAGGACCGTCCTTCCTGTAGAAACCTGATCAAAAAAACAACATGATCTAAAATACATTGTGAAAATGACCACAGTGACCGTACTTACTAACCTCAGATGTGTCCTTCAGACAAACAACGTGACCACAGGACCGTACTTATTAACCTTAGATTTGTCTGATCAAACAAACAACATGACCACAGACCGTACTTACTAACCTCAGATGTGTCCTTCAGACAAACAACGTAACCACACGACCGTACTTATTAACCTTAGATTTGTCTGATCAAACAAACAACATGACCACAGGACCGTACTTATAAGCTTTAGTTGTGTCCTTCAGACAAACAACGTGACCACAGGACCGTACTTATTAACCTTAGATTTGTCTGATCAAACAAACAACATGACCACAGGACCGTACTTATTAACATCAGATGTGTCCTTCAGACAAACAACGTGACCACAGGACCGTACATATTGACCTTAGTTGTGTCTGTTCAGACAAACAACGTGACCACAGGACCGTACTTATTGACCTTAGTTGTGTCTGTTCAGACAAACAACGTGACCACACGACCGTACGTATTGACCTTAGTTGTGTCTGTTCAGACAAACAACGTGACCACACGACCGTACTTATTGACCTTAGATTTGTCTGTTCAAACAAACAACATGACCACAGGACCGTACTTATTGACCTTAGTTGTGTCCTTCAGACAAACAACGTTACCACACGACCGAACTTATTAACCTTAGATTTGTCTGATCAAACAAACAACATGACCACAGGACCGTACTTATTAACATCAGATGTGTCCTTCAGACAAACAACGTGACCACAGGACCGTACATATTGACCTTAGTTGTGTCTGTTCAGACAAACAACGTGACCACAGGACCGTACTTATTAACCTTAGATTTGTCTGTTCAGACAAACAACGTGACCACAGGACCGTACTTATTGACCTTAGTTGTGTCTGTTCAGACAAACAACGTGACCACAGGACCGTACTTATTGACCTTAGTTGTGTCTGTTCAGACAAACAACGTGACCACAGGACCGTACAAACAACATGACCACAGGACCGTACTTATTAACATCAGATATGTCCTTCAGACAAACAACGTGACCACAGGACCGTTAGTTGTGTGTCTGTTCAGACAAACAACGTGACCACACGACCGTACTTATTGACCTTAGTTGTGTCTGTTCAGACAAACAACGTGACCTCACGACCGTACTCATTGACCTTAGTTGTGTCTGTTCAGAGATATAACGTGACCACAGGACCGTACTTATTGACCTTAGTTGTGTCCTTCAGACAAACAACGTGACCACACGACCGAACTTATTAACCTTAGATTTGTCTGATCAAACAAACAACATGACCACAGGACCGTACTTATTAACATCAGATGTGTCCTTCAGACAAACAACGTGACCACAGGACCGTACATATTGACCTTAGTTGTGTCTGTTCAGACAAACAACGTAACCACACGACCGTACTTATTAACCTTAGATTTGTCTGTTCAGACAAACAACGTGACCACAGGACCGTACTTATTGACCTTAGTTGTGTCTGTTCAGACAAACAACGTGACCACAGGACCGTACTTATTGACCTTAGTTGTGTCTGTTCAGACAAACAACGTGACCACACGACCGTACTTATTGACCTTAGTTGTGTCTGTTCAGAGATATAACGTGACCACAGGACCGTACTTATTGACCTTAGTTGTGTCTGTTCAGACAAACAACGTGACCACAGGACCGTACTTATTGACCTTAGTTGTGCTGTTCAGACAAACAACGTGACCACAGGACCGTACTTATTGACCTTAGTTGTGTCTGTTCAGACAAACAACGTGACCACACGACCGTACTTATTGACCTTAGTTGTGTCTTTTCAGAGATATAACGTGACCACAGGACCGTACTTATTTACCTTAGTTGTGTCCTTCAGACAAACAACGTTACCACACGACCGAACTTATTAACCTTAGATTTGTCTGTTCAGACAAACAACGTGACCACAGGACCGTACTTATTGACCTTAGTTGTGTCTGTTCAGACAAACAACGTGACCACAGGACCGTACATATTGACCTTAGTTGTGTCTGTTCAGACAAACAACGTGACCACACGACCGTACTTATTGACCTTAGTTGTGTCTGTTCAGAGATATAACGTGACCACAGGACCGTACCTATTGACCTTAGTTGTGTCTGTTCAGACAAACAACGTGATCACAGGACCGTACTTATTTACCTTAGTTGTGTCCTTCAGACAAACAACGTTACCACACGACCGAACTTATTAACCTTAGATTTGTCTGTTCAGACAAACAACGTGACCACAGGACCGTACTTATTGACCTTAGTTGTGTCTGTTCAGACAAACAACGTGACCACAGGACCGTACTTATTGACCTTAGTTGTGTCTGTTCAGACAAACAACGTGACCACACGACCGTACTTATTGACCTTAGTTGTGTCTGTTCAGAGATATAACGTGACCACAGGACCGTACTTATTGACCTTAGTTGTGTCTGTTCAGACAAACAACGTGACCACACGACCGTACTTATTGACCTTAGATTTGTCTGTTCAAACAAACAACATGACCACAGGACCGTACTTACTGACCTTAGTTGTGTCCTTCAGACAAACAACGTGACCACAGGACCGAACTTATTGACCTTAGATTTGTCTGTTCAGACAAACAACGTGACCACAGGACCGTACTTATTAACCTGAGATTTGTCCTTCAGACAAAAAACGTGACCAGAGAACCGAACTTATTGACCTTAGATTTGTCTAGATAGAACTTAAGGGACCCAGTGTTGAGGAGGTAAATATAAATTGATCAGCTGACCTGGTCATTAGAGTTGTTGGCTTCCTCTGGTATGGTACTGTCAGGGTTGGACGACATCGAATTCTTTCTTTTTAATTTGAAGACCTTGGAAATCGTTTTCGAAAATGAGCTTTTTTTTTGTCCAGGTGATCCAAGTGCCTGAAATATATGTGTAGATATGTAGATATTTATATTGATTATCTAGTGATATTAAGGTAATATCATCTGTCTTATCAATACATCCGAGTTAGGTAACGACATTCTTATATCAGATGATTGACAGCAAAAGTGTAATAAAGAAAATGAACAATACAGATAGTGATGAGTGTGTGGCGAGATCAGTGACAGTGATGAAGGTGTGTTACGATATCAGTGATAGTGATGAAGGTGTGTTACGATATCTGTGATAGTGATTAAGGTGTGTTACGATATCGGTGATAGTGATGAAAGTGTGTTACTATATCAGTGATAGTGATGAAAGTGTGTTACTATATCAGTGATAGTGATGAAAGTGTGTTACTATATCAGTGATAGTGATGAAGATGTGTTACGATATCAGTGATAGTGATGAAAGTGTGTTACTATATCAGTGATAATGATGAAGGTGTGTTACGATATCAGTGATAGTGATGAAGGTGTGTTACGATATCGGTGATAGTGATGAAGTTGTGTTAAGATATCAGTGATAGTGATGAAGGTGTGTTACGATATCAGTGATAATGATGAAGGTGTGTTACGATATCAGTGATAGTGATGAAGGTGTGTTACGATATCGGTGATAGTGATGAAGTTGTGTTACGATATCAGTGATAGTGATGAAGGTGTGTTACGATATCGGTGATAGTGATGAAGGTGTTACGATATCGGTGATAGTGATGAAGTTGTGTTACGATATCAGTGACAGTGATGAAGGTGTGTTACTATATCAGTGATAGTGATGAAAGTGTGTTACGATATCAGTGATAGTGATGAAGTTGTGTTACGATATCAGTGATAGTGATGAAAGTGTGTTACTATATCAATGATAGTGATGAAGGTGTGTTACGATATCAGTGATAGTGATGAAGTTGTGTTACGATATCAGTGATAGTGATGAAGGTGTGTTACTATATCAGTGATAGTGATGAAAGTGTGTTACGATATCAGTGATAGTGATGAAGTTGTGTTACGATATCAGTGATAGTGATGAAGTTGTGTTACGATATCAGTGATAGTGATGAAGGTGTGTTACTATATCAGTGATAGTGATGAAAGTGTGTTACTATATCAGTGATAGTGATGAAAGTGTGTTACGATATCAGTGATAGTGATGAAGGTGTGTTACTATATCAGTGATAGTGATGAAGGTGTGTTACGATATCAGTGATAGTGATGAAGGTGTGTTACTATATCAGTGATACTGATGAAGGTGTGTTACGATATCAGTGATAGTGATGAAAGTGTGTTACTATATCAATGATAGTGATGAAGGTGTGTTACTATATCAGTGATAGTGATGAAAGTGTGTTACTATATCAGTGATAGTGATGAAAGTGTGTTACTATATCAGTGATAGTGATGAAAGTGTGTTACTATATCAGTGATAGTGATGAAGGTGTGTTACGATATCAGTGATAGTGATGAAAGTGTGTTACTATATCAATGATAATGATGGTGTGTTAATATCAGTGTGTGTGAAAGTGTGTTACTATATCAATGATAGTGATGAAGGTGTGTTACTATATCAGTGATAGTGATGAAAGTGTGTTACTATATCAGTGATAGTGATGAAAGTGTGTTACTATATCAGTGATAGTGATGAAAGTGTGTTACTATATCAGTGATAGTGATGAAGGTGTGTTACGATATCAGTGATAGTGATGAAGGTGTGTTACGATATCAGTGATAGTGATGAAGGTGTGTTACGATATCAGTGATAGTGATGAAGGTGTGTTACGATATCAGTGATAGTGATGAAGGTGTGTTACGATATCAGTGATAGTGATGAAGGTGTGTTACGATATCAGTGACAGTGATGAAGGTGTGTTACGATATCAGTGATAGTGATGAAGTTGTGTTACGATATCAGTGATAGTGATGAAGGTGTGTTACGATATCGGTGATAGTGATGAAGGTGTGTTACGATATCAGTGACAGTGATGAAAGTGTGTTACGATATCAGTGATAGTGATGAAGTTGTGTTACGATATCAGTGATAGTGATGAAGGTGTGTTACGATATCAGTGATAGTGATGAAAGTACAGTAATAACATTGATAAAACCACTGGAAACAATGTCTTAAGTGTAAAGAAATATAGAGCGATAATCAGACATTTAAACACATAAAAAATATCTAACGATTGCACTTGAAAATGTTCGAGTTATTATTCAGTATAATGCATATATAATTTTTATTATGTTTATGAATGCTAGGCAGTAATTGAATACGAGACGTGATAAGCACACGTGTTCAGCCATTGAGGAACTTAATGGGCACCTTCGGTATTATTTGACGCCAGGTACACACGGTATGAAACGAGGGCATTTAAATATAAATGAATTGTGTAGTGTGAACCAGGAAGAATTGGTTCCTCCAGATTATAATAGCCGTATGGTCTAGTTTACTTCCCTGATGTTGTCACAGGTATTTACACAGGCTAAAGTAAACACCACAGCAAAACATATCAATACACGTTGATGTATAAACAGTATAATATAAAGACAAAATACAGACATCACGTCATGTATCCACGTATTTATACAAATAGCCAGAGGTCCAGTGTGAGAAAGCACGCAGGGACGAATACTTACAAGGTGTACCAATAAACAATGATAAAAGTAATAAACACGTAAAAAGTGTTAACATAAACACCAATTATACCTGTATCCTAGTAGGACTAAGAAACTATATTGTGCAGTTTTACTCAAAATGTGACTTTACACTGTACTAGCTACTACATCTTGTTCTAAATTCCTGTTGAAATAGTGTCCTTTATAAAGTTCTTTGTGTTTGGCGCTGGGATCTGCTGTTGGGCTCCAGTACGCGAGCTTTGTGTTTGTCTGGCGCTGGGATCTGCTGTTGGGCTCCATTAACCGAGCTTTGCCCTTGTGTCACATGTTTTACTTCATTTTTAAAGTGGCACTGTTCAAAATATACACATGAACAGTACCTCATGTTCTCTTGAAATAATTCCATAAGGAAATCATAAAATCGATTGAATTAGGTAAGTGCACATCGCCATCTAGATTTGACATTTATTTCAAATGGATCTGATTTTCCTATGTCGCCTCTTGGGCTTCAATACTTTAAGCCCTTGGCATCAATGACGAGTTCTAGAAGGACGAAGCAGCTGTATAAAGCAGTTTTATTCCGATATCTTAATGGCTAACGTTACCTTGCTGCGACGTAAACTCTCCGTGTCCGATTCACTACATCTTCGTCGACCCGTAAACCGGTAGGCAGGAGGGGTCTCGACAAACCACGTGGTTTCTCCTGTGAAGAAGTTCAGAAACTCATTTCAGAATAGTAGGAAAATTTTCTTGTCAAGGCGTGGGTTAAAGGATTGTTAGACAAACACAAAACTATGAAATTAAATGTGATAACACTAAACGTCGACTGTTATTTATATATTCATTATGTATAGCAGATCTTATCATACTATCAACAGATCTTATCATACTACCAACATATCTTATCATACTACCAACAGATCTTATCATACTATCAACATATCTTATCATACTATCAACATATCTTATCATACTACCAACAGATCTTATCATACTATCAACATATCTTATCATACTACCAACATATCTTATCATACTAATAACAGATCTTATCATACTACCAACATATCTGATCATACTACAAACAGATCTTATCATACTATCAACATATCTTATCATACTACCAACAGATCTGATCATACTATCAACAGATCTGATCATACTATCAACAGATCTTGTCATACTATCAACATATCTTATCATACTACCAACATATCTTATCATACTACCAACAGATCTTATCATACTACCAACATATCTAATCATACTACCAACAGATCTGATCATACTATCAACAGATCTGATCATACTATCAACAGATCTTATCATACTATCAACATATCTTATCATACTACCAACAGATCTGATCATACTACCAACAGATCTTATCATACTACCAACAGATCTGATCATACTATCAACAGATCTGATCATACTATCAACATATCTTATCATACTATCAACAGATCTGATCATACTATCAACAGATCTTATCATACTATCAACATATCTTATCATACTACCAACAGATCTGATCATACTACCAACAGATCTTATCATACTATCAACATATCTTATCATACTATCAACATATCTTATCATACTACCAACAGATCTGATCATACTATCAACATATCTTATCATACTACCAACAGATCTTGTCATGTTATCAACATATCTTATCATACTACCAACAGATCGTGTCATGTTATCAACAGATCTTATCATACTAATAACAGATCTTATCATACTACCAACATATCTGATCATACTACCAACAGATCTTATCATACTACCAACAGATCTGATCATACTATCAACATATCTTATCATACTACCAACAGATCTGATCATACTACCAACATATCTTATCATACTATCAACATATCTTATCATACTACCAACAGATCTTATCATACTACCAACATATCTTATCATACTACCAACAGATCTTATCATACTACCAACAGATCTGATCATACTATCAACATATCTTATCATACTACCAACATATCTTATCATACTATCAACATATCTTATCATACTACCAACAGATCTTGTCATGCTATCAACAGATCTTATCATACTACCAACAGATCTGATCATACTATCAACAGATCTTATCATACTACCAACAGATCTTATCATACTACCAACAGATCTTATCATACTATCAACATATCTTATCATACTATCAACAGATCTTGTCATACTATCAACATATCTTATCATACTATCAACATATCTTATCATACTACCAACAGATCTTGTCATGTTATCAACATATCTTATCATACTACCAACAGATCTTGTCATGTTATCAACATATCTTATCATACTACCAACAGATCTTGTCATGTTATCAACATGTCTGATCATACTATCAACAGATCTTGTCATACTATCAACATATCTTATCATACTACCAACAGATCTTGTTATGTTATCAACATATCTTATCATACTACCAACAGATCTTATCATACTACCAACATATCTTATCATACTATCAACATATCTTATCATACTATCAACAGATCTTATCATACTATCAACAGATCTGATCATACTATCAACAGATCTTATCATACTACCAACAGATCTTATCATACTACCAACAGATCTTATCATACTACCAACATATCTTATCATACTAACAACAGATCGTGTCATGCTATCAACATATCTTATCATGCTTACAACAGATCTTATTATACTACCATCATTTCTTATCATACTGACAACATATCTTGCCATACTACCAACAGATATTATTATGCTAACAAAAGCTGTGATGCCGGTTTAACGTTTTTTAAGAAAAAAATCTAAAACCTTCTTTCCGGCCTTCTGAGAGAGGACTGAAATTGTCCGAAAAAGGATCAGGCTCTTCTTGACCTTGGTACGATTTTGACATCCAACTTCTGTGGATTTTATCTGTAAAAAGGATCATTGTTGTAAGTATAGATTGTTTCTAGACCCTCGCCATTAGATACCAGTTGTATTGTACAGATTTACCACGTAAACATAAGTCAAATTCAGATCTAATTAACACAATTATGTGTCATTGTGTCAATTTTACCAACAACCTTCGAAAACATATGTCACCAAAATCATGACGTATTAGAACTATGGTAGAACGAAGTATATTTACCTTGGTTGTCAAATGGTCAGTCACTTATCATAACTATCAGAAGTCGGTCGCCAGTGAGTCGGAAGTTGCTTACCTTACAATAGTCACAGGGTCAAAGGTCTTTTTGCTATACCATAGACATCTGGGTCAGTGTCAGAGGTCAGTCACTTATCATAACTATCAGAAGTCGGTCGCCAGTGAGTCGGAAGTGGCTTACTTACAATAGTCACAGGGTCAAAGGTCTTTTTGCTATACCATAGACATCTGGGTCAGTGTCAGAGGTCAGTCACTTATCATAACTATCAGAAGTCGGTCGCCAGTGAGTCGGAAGTGGCTTACCTCACAATAGTCAGAGGGTCAAAGGTCTTTTTTATATAGTTGTGACAGGGATCGGAAATTACTTACATATATATGCATCATAGTCTCCAGAAGATTGAACGTCACTTACCATAGACATCTGAGTCAGTGTCCGAGGTCAGTCACTTACCATAGTTACCCGAGGGTCAGAGGTCATTTACCATAGTCAATTGTGGGTCGAAGGTCGCTTACCATAGTCACCTGAAGGTCGAAGGTCGCTTACCATAGTCACATAATGGTCAAAGGTCGCTTACCATAGTCACATGAGGGTCAGATAACACTTACCATAGTCACCTGAAGGTCGAATGTCGCTAACAGATCTGTTCAGGAAAGAAGTAGGACCCTTTTTTGGAGCTTTTGAAATTCCTACAATATAAACTTATGTGATTACACAAAGATGTTATTATGCATGGACATACATACATACAATAAGTAGAACTATCGATATATTATTGATAAGTTTGGAAGGTCAGAATGCTATTATACATAACATATTATAAATTCACCTGACTGATGTCGAAATTACAGTGTGATTCTTGCTCATGTATGTCAGCAATGAGGGACACAAGGGGTACTAGTAGCACTGAATTTCCAGTAAATATGTCACCGAATAAAGGATATTAAATTTTTATCCACTTTTCTTATCAATATACCAATAAAATTATATATCTTTACTTACGTGTTGGCGACATATCCAGGTAGTCGCTTTCCCTACCCACAAAGGAATGCTGTAGCCCCGATACACCACTATCAGCGTCCCGACTCTCCTTAACTCCATTTTTATCTCGCATTGATGTGCTATTAGGATCTGCGGGGAAATAGCAGTCTTCATGGGGATCCAATACTCCGCTATCTCTACTCCCGAGTCGAGACACTGAATTGTTTTGTTTAAAAGTTAAATTTATTGATAGATTGATATAAGATACCTGTATACCATCTATAGCATAAACGTTATGTTTGATAGATCAAGCTATCTGATTGGTTCTTTAGGAATATGTTGCTACTTTTAGATATCCCATTGATTCGAAAATTTTTGTGAAATCCAGGTAGAGTGTGTCTGTTTCTACCTACCTTTAACGTGTTCTGTTTCAAATTGTTTGTCTAGTAACTTGACCAGGTCAGTAAAGCCATTCCTCTTGGCGATGTCTCTTGGAGTCTCATTGTTCCTATTGCACTTGAGACAGGCCGATACTAAACATGGAACCTGAAGCAGTTCATTTGTCGACAACAGCAAGTTGGTATCAGCACAGAAATGAAGAAGTGTCGGCCATTCGCTTTCGCTATCTAGGATCATAAGCAGGAAAACGAAATATTAGAAATAATTCATTACATCATCACCAAGCCTGTAATAACATATTATATGTGAGTTTTCCTCGCTTCCTCGTTCATCACTAACTCTGTAATAACGTATTATATGTGAGTTTTACCTGCTTCCTCGTTCATCATTAACCCTGTAATAACGTATTATATGTGAGTTTTACCTGCTTCCTCGTTCATCATTAACTCTGTAATAACGTATTATATGTGAGTTTTACTCGCTTCCTCGTTCATCATTAACTCTGTAATAACGTATTATATGTGAGTTTTACCTGCTTCCTCGTTCATCATTAACTCTGTAATAACGTATTATATGTGAGTTTTACTCGCTTCCTCATTCATCACTAACTCTGTAATAACGTATCATATGTGAGTTTTACCTGCTTCCTCGTTCATCATTAACTCTGTAATAACGTATTATATGTGAGTTTTACTCGCTTCCTCATTCATCACTAACTCTGTAATAACGTATTATATGTGAGTTTTACCTGCTTCCTCGTTCATCACTAACTCTGTAATAACGTATTATATGTGAGTTTTACTCGCTTCCTCGTTCATCATTAACTCTGTAATAACGTATTATATGTGAGTTTTACCTGCTTCCTCGTTCATCACTAACTTTGTAATAACGTATTATATGTGAGTTTTACTCGCTTCCTCGTTCATCATTAACTCTGTAATAACGTATTATATGTGAGTTTTACTCGCTTCCTCGTTCATCACTAACTCTGTAATAACGTATTATATGTGAGTTTTACCTGCTTCCTCGTTCATCATTAACTCTGTAATAACGTATTATATGTGAGTTTTACCTGCTTCCTCGTTCATCATTAACCCTGTAAAGTGTTCCGTTATCCTCAGCCGTCTACACTTGCCCGACAAACATTGGTCAAGTTGTTTGTGATCAACAGGTATACGTAACGCTCTACATAAAAGTTGGACTGGGTCTGTTTCCTTCTCCAGGATGTTATGTATAATATCCAGACTTGAAGACGAGTCCGGACTTCGTGAAGCCCCCTGGTTCTTATTACTGGTTAATGACGAGTTAGAATGTGGCTCCTGAGGAATTGTCTGTTTGGTGTTTCCGTCTTCAGTTTGGGTTTTACTGTCAAATTTATACGCCATTGAACCAAACATCTGGTCATTACACGCAGCAACAAATTTTATGTTGTCGTCCTGAATAAGATTTTCTATAGGAAGGAAATACACGTTAAAATATTCATTAATATTCAAATGAACAAATTGGTTTTTTGTTATTCCAGCACAGAAAAAAAATATGTTATTTGTGATTTAGCTTATGTCTTATAGATTACGAGTTTTTTTTTAACTGCAACAAACCCATCGCGCCGTCGTCAATGCCCCGTGAAATGTGCATCAAATTGTTGATATCAACCTATAAGAGATAATTGGGGGTTGTTTCTGTACGTACTTGGAATCCGAGCTTTGTATACTGCCTGGTCGATTTCTTCCGTTTGAATATTTTCTCCTGAATCTAAAGTCAACATCAACTCCGAGTCAGCTTTCCGGTCCAGCAGAATTAATAATTCTCTGCAGTCATCTCCCTTGAACAACCATTTATATGTTTTATTATAAGAATTTTAACGCATACAGATCTGAACATATTTTCAGCTGAAATTTTGTAAAACGACCTCACTAGACAAAACCAACAATACATAAGTAAACAATATTTCCTATCTATGGGTTATATTTCCACTAACTAACCGAGACAGTGTACGCAGCCCCTGTATTAGACCTACCTCACTGCAAGGCAGTTGCATGACGTCATGGAGGTCGTTAATCTGTCGGGTTGGTGGCAGAATGTCATAGTCATCTGTGTTCTCGCATTCCCCAGAAGATCTGTTGTGTGAACACGGCTCAGGTACAAGTTGGAATAATGGATCGTCCTGGCAGCTTTCATCGTCATCGACCTCATCGCCACCGTGCAGGTTTTCATATAAATTTATGATTGTCAGCAAAAGAACCTTAACCGAGTCTTGAGTTTGTTGTGGGCGATAACAAAGCCATTTTAGGAGTCGGTTCTTAGGGTTTTCCCTCGACACAGCTTCATGGAACTCCGATTTATTCGTGCCCAGAAGAATAGCTAAAGAATCTACCGTACTACATCTTTGGAACTTTTCGAATGACTCCAACGTCAGGAAGTCCGGACTGACCAGGACGATGTTCACGTCATATTTGTTTGCTTCAAGCAAGGGCGTCCCTATCTCATGCAACACTGTCGGTATACCATACTGATCTTCGCTTAGCTTCTTCTGCAGAAATGATCCCCAAGCACTACCGTCGGATCCAATGTAATGAATCGCGGATTTACCAGCACTGGTGGAAGTCATAATGTCACTGAAACATGTCACACAACATAGGGGGTTAGTGTACAATATAATACGGAGGTCATAATGTCACTGAAACATGTCACACAACATAGGGGGTTAGTGTACAATATAATACGGAGGTCATAATGTCACTGAAACATGTCACACAACATAGGGGGTTAGTGTACAATATAATACGGAGGTCATAATGTCACTGAAACATGTCACACAACATAGGGGGTTAGTGTACAATATAATACAGAGGTCATAATGTCACTGAAACATGTCACACAACATAGGGGTTAGTGTACAATATAATACGGAGGTCATAATGTCACTGAAACATGTCACACAACATAGGGGGTTAGTGTACAATATAATACGGAGGTCATAATGTCACTGAAACATGTCACACAACATAGGGGTTAGTGTACAATATAATACGGAGGTCATAATGTCACTGAAACATGTCACACAACATAGGGGGTTAGTATACAATATAATACGGAGGTCATAATGTCACTGAAACATGTCACACAACATAGGGGGTTAGTGTACAATATAATACGGAGGTCATAATGTCACTGAAACATGTCACACAACATAGGGGGTTAGTGTACAATATAATACGGAGGTCATAATGTCACTGAAACATGTCACACCAAACAGGGGGTTAGTGTACAATATAATACGGAGGTCATAATGTCACTGAAACAGGTCACACCACACAGGGGGTTAGTGTACAATATAATACGGAGGTCATAATGTCACTGAAACAGGTCACACCACACAGGGGGTTAGTGTACAATATAATACGGAGGTCATAATGTCACTGAAACAGGTTACACCACATAGGGCATAATGTCACTGAAACATGTCACACTACATAGGGGTTGGTGTACAATATAATACGGAGGTCATAATGTCACTGAAACATGTCACACAACATAGGGGGATAGTGTACAATATAATACGGAGGTCATAATGTCACTGAAACATGTCACACAACATAGGGGGATAGTGTACAATATAATACACACTGAAACATGTCACACAACATAGGGGTTAGTGTACAATATAATACGGAGGTCATAATGTCACTGAAACATGTCACACAACATAGGGGGTTAGTGTACAATATAATACGGAGGTCATAATGTCACTGAAACATGTCACACAACATAGGGGGTTAGTGTACAATATAATACGGAGGTCATAATGTCACTGAAACAGGTTTCACCACAATATAATACGGAGGTCATAATGTCACTGAAACATGTCACACCACACAGGGGGTTAGTGTACAATATAATACGGAGGTCATAATGTCACTGAAACAGATCACACCACATAGGGCATAATGTCACTGAAACAGGCCACACCATATAGGAGGTTAGTGTACAATATAATACGGAGGTCGTAATGTCACTGAAACAGGTCACACCACATAGGGGTCAGTGTACATTATAATACGGAGGTCATAATGTCACTGAAACAGGTCACACCACATAGGGGTCAGTGTACATTATAATACGGAGGTCATAATGTCACTGAAACAGGTCACACCACACAGGGGGTTAGTGTACAATATAATACGGAGGTCATAATGTCACTGAAACATGTCACACAACATAGGGGTTAGTGTACAATATAATACGGAGGTCATAATGTCACTGAAACATGTCACACAACATAGGGGGTTAGTGTACAATATAATACGGAGGTCATAATGTCACTGAAACATGTCACACAACATAGGGGGTTAGTGTACAATATAATACGGAGGTCATAATGTCACTGAAACATGTCACACAACATAGGGGGTTAGTGTACAATATAATACGGAGGTCATAATGTCACTGAAACATGTCACACAACATAGGGGTTAGTGTACAATATAAAACGGAGGTCATAATGTCACTGAAACATGTCACACAACATAGGGGGTTAGTGTACAATATAATACGGAGGTCATAATGTCACTGAAACATGTCACACAACATAGGGGGTTAGTGTACAATATAATACGGAGGTCATAATGTCACTGAAACAGATCACACCACATAGGGGGTTAGTGTACAATATAATACGGAGGTCATAATGTCACTGAAACATGTCACACCAAACAGGGGGTTAGTGTACAATATAATACGGAGGTCATAATGTCACTGAAACATGTAACACAACATAGGGGGTTAGTGTACAATATAATACGGAGGTCATAATGTCACTGAAACATGTCACACAACATAGGGGGTTAGTGTACAATATAATACGGAGGTCATAATGTCACTGAAACAGGTCACACCACACAAGGGGTTAGTGAACAATATAATACGGAGGTCATAATGTCACTGAAACAGGTCACACCACATAGGGGGTTAGTGTACAATATTATACGGAGGTCATAATGTCACTGAAACAGGTTACACCACATAGGGCATAATGTCACTGAAACATGTCACACTACATAGGGGTTGGTGTACAATATAATACGGAGGTCATAATGTCACTGAAACAGGTCACACCACATAGGGGGTCAGTGTACATTATAATACTACAGTATATATCTCTGAAACAACATAGTATGAAGGAAATGATTAGAACATCCCTGTAGGGATATGACATATAAATTGAGATGTTATCAGATTTGATCAGTATATCTCATCAAAGGTATCTAGAAACTAGGTGATTCCAGATCTAACTTAGTCATCGTTTCCTGGTCACAGATTTTGTCTTTACATAATATAGATATGTTTACCTTCTAAACTACCACAGTGTTATATGAAGGACACAAACTGTACAATTCCTAACCATCAAAATCAGGCCTTATACTTAACTTTTACAGATTAACAAGTTATTTCCTACAGGACAATCTTGTCTATAATATTCATGTTCCTGGTATATATGGCTGTCGTGTGAATGTCTTATCATAGGAGTTACAAGTGTTTTAGTTTTATCAAGAAAACAAAAATAAAATTACTTACATGTATTCGTACTTACATATATGTACCCAATTGTGTTACTTAGCTGTGACTCAACTTGCGGTAACGCTCACACGGATTGTCTGTAGACAGAAAGCAGTTTGTTAGGGTTTTTCACCCGTAAGGAACTTCCTGCTTCACGTAGGGACACACTCTGCTCTGTTTACGGGGGTTTCTTTTGGTATATATTACATATCAAATAAAAATAAATTTTACCAAACAGGAAGTCTTTTTGCATGCCTTTAGTAATCAATAAGACATTTCCATATAAATCGGTTGGGAAAATATATTGAAATCTTTGACGATGACTTTTTAACTTTCAATCAATAAATTCAAGCATTTGGTCAGAGCTAGTTCTCACATAACGTGTTCAAAATTTAAAGATAACAGATAAATAGAGTAAAAACCAAATCACATCGCTATACACGTTTACATTGATCTACATTTTTATCAAAGAACTTGGATATCCGTTATTTTGTTTTTGCTGATGCAATCATTTACACATTATGTAGCTAACTTCGGTAGAATGTGCCTCTTTGTCTTTATGTTGACGTTTAGTCAAATAACTCTATAATTAATTTGAAAGGAAAGAAAAAGTCTTGTACACATGTAACAACTGAATAAAACTTTAATTGAAACAAAAAATATCATAAACGATGAAATGTCTTTAAGATATAAACGTGAAGTGGAATTAGTTCCAGTGTTGAATCAGTTTGTGATTTTCTATATATCGTAAAGATGACATTGACCTTGACTTTGGGCATAGGAAGCACCATGATGTCCGAAGTATACTTATACCTGATATTTGATAATTGATAATATTTGACCAAATTCAGGAAAAGAATGAAGTCAACAAGTGTTTAATTGGACTTGTTAATATTTTCCATAGATAAAGCACCATTGATTTTAGCCTTGACCAGGACACAAAATTACATAGATAAAGCACCATTGATTTTAGCCTTGACCAGGACACAAAATTACATAGATAAAGCACCATTGATTTTAGCCTTGACCACGACACAAAATTACATAGATAAAGCACCATTGATTTTAGCCTTGACCACGACACAAAATTACATAGATAAAGACCTCTGTGTCATAAGCATGGGCCATAGTGTCGTAAACAGAGAACACAGTGTCATAGACAGGAAATACAATGACATCAACAAGAATAACAGAGACAAAAAAGTGTCATAAACGGAAAGGACAGTGACTGAGACAGGAAGCACAATGTCATCAACAAGAATCACAAAAACAGGAACCACATAAACAGGAACTGGAAACACAGAGAAAGAGACATGAACCACAGAGACAGGAACGGGACACACAGAGAAAGATATAGGAACCACAGAGACAGGAACTGGAAACACAGAGAAAGAGACAGGAACCACAGAGACAGGAACTGGAAACACAGAGAAAGAGACAGGAACCACGGAAACAGGAACGGGACACACACAGAAAGAGACATGAACCACAGAGACAGGAACGGGACACACAGAGAAAGAGACAGGAACCACGGAAACAGGAACGGGACACACAGAGAAAGAGACAGGAACCACAGAGACAGGAACTGGAAACACAGAGAAAGAGACAGGAACCACAGAGACAGGAACTGGAAACACAGAGAAAGAGACATGAACCACAGAGACAGGAACCGGAAACACAGAGAAAGAGACAGGAACCACGGAAACAGGAACTGGAAACACAGAGAAAGAGACATGAACCACAGAGACAGGAACTGGACACACAGAGAAAGAGACAGGAACCACAGAGGCAGGAACTGGAAACACAGAGAAAGAGACAGGAGACAGGAACTGGACAACACAGAGAAAGGAAACACAGAGAAAGAGACAGGAACCACAGAGACAGGAACTGGAAACACCGAGAAAGAGACAGGAACCACAGAGACAGGAACTGGAAACACAGAGAAAGAGAAGGAACCACAGAGACAGGAACTGGAAACACAGAGAAAGAGACAGGAACCACAGAGACAGGAACTGGAAACACAGAGAAAGAGACAGGAACCACGGAAACAGGAACTGGAAACACAGAGAAAGAGACAGGAACCACAGAGACAGGAACTGGAAACACAGAGAAAGAGACAGGAACCACAGAGGCAGGAACTGGAAACACAGAGAAAGAGACATGAACTACAGAGACAGGAACCGGAAACACAGAGAAAGAGACATGAACCACAGAGACAGGAACCGGAAACACAGAGAAAGAGACAGGAAACACACAGAGAAAGCGACAGGAATCACAGAGACAGGAACTGGAAACACAGAGAAAGAGACAGGAACCACAGAGACAGGAACTGGAAACACAGAGAAAGAGACAGGAACCACAGAGGCAGGAACCGGAAACACGGAGAAAGAGACAGGAATCACAGAGACAGGAACTGAAAACACAGAGAAAGAGACAGGAACCACGGAGACAGGAACTGGACACACAGAGAAAGAGACAGGAACTGAAAGAGACAGGAACCACAGAGACAGGAACTGGAAACACAGAGAAAGAGATAGAACCACAGAACACAACTGGAAACACAGGAACTGGAGAAAGAGACAGGAATCACAGAAACAGGAACTGGAAACACAGAGAAAGAGACAGGAACCACAGAGACAGGAACTGGAAACACAGAGAAAGAGACAGGAACCACAGAGACAGGAACTGGAAACACAGAGAAAGAGACAGGAACCACAGAGACAGGAACTGGAAACACAGAGAAAGAGACATGAACCACAGAGACAGGAACTGGACACACAGAGAAAGAGACAGGAACTACAGAGACAGGAACTGGACACACAGAGAAAGAGACAGGAACCACAGAGACAGGAACTGGAAAAACAGAGAAAGATATAGGAACCACAGAGACACGAACTGGAAACACGGAGAAAGCGACAGGAATCACAGAGACAGGAACTGGAAACACAGAGAAAGAGACAGGAACCACAGAGACAGGAACTGGAAACACAGAGAAAGAGACAGGAACCACAGAGACAGGAACTGGAAACACAGAGAAAGAGACAGGAACCACAGAGACAGGAACTGGAAACACAGAGAAAGAGACAGGAACCACAGAGACAGGAACTGGAAACACGGAGAAAGCGACAGGAATCACAGAGACAGGAACTGGAAACACAGAGAAAGAGACATGAACCACGGAAACAGGAACTGAAAACACAGAGAAAGAGATAGGAACCACAGAGACAGGAACGGGACACACAGAGAAATAGACAGGAACCACAGAGGCAGGAACCGGAAACACGGAGAAAGAGACAGGAATCACAGAGACAGGAACTGAAAACACAGAGAAAGAGACAGGAACCACGGAGACAGGAACTGGAAACACAGAGAAAGAGACATGAACCACAGAGACAGGAACTGGAAACACAGAGAAAGAGACAGGAACCACAGAGACAGGAACTGGAAAAACAGAGAAAGATATAGGAACCACAGAGACACGAACTGGAAACACGGAGAAAGCGACAGGAATCACAGAGACAGGAACTGGAAACACAGAGAAAGAGACATGAACCACGGAAACAGGAACTGAAAACACAGAGAAAGAGATAGGAACCACAGAGACAGGAACGGGACACACAGAGAAAGAGACAGGAACCACAGAGACAAGAACGGGACACACAGAGAAAGAGACATGAACCACAGAGACAGGAACTGGAACTATAGAAAAATAGACAAGAATCAGTGAGATAATCCAGAGACACACAAGAACAAGCACCAGCCAAAATGAATCCAATCGGAGACGAAAGAAACTAAAACGACGGATAAAAGAAAACACATGTATAAACTTGAACAATACAGACAATAAAACAAGAACCGCGGGTACATGAAAACCAAGAGATATATACCTATCACAGTAAAATAGGAAACAGCCATCACGCTGTCTCCTGATGTTAAGGCACACGGGATTGAAATATTTATGTGGCATTGTTATAGAAGATTAATCTAATTAATCCTTTGTCAATTTTCTGACACATATTATTGTTTTGTTTTTTATCAATATTATTCTTTATCATATTTAACAAAATACTCTATTGAAAGCGGTATCCATTAGCTTGATATTTTGATACAGCTTTAGACAGGTATAAGCCTTACAAGTAGTGCGTGTCTTGCGTAATCAACATGTAAACAGCTAGTTTTTTTTCTGTACCGAGTTTGTTGTAAACGAGACGACTCCAGTCACATAACCCTTGTACACTGTTACGCTTCGCACGTGGATAAAAATAATGACACAAGTCTGCACCATGGTGGCTTGAATTTATTGTTTATTTAACTTGAAACCTTCAGGCTCGATAAATCTTATAAAAACATATAATACATATATAATGTAAAATACAAAGACAGTATATCATGAATACCATAACCAGGTATGTCGTATTTAGTTACGCTGTCACTACTATGTACAAGATAGACAACTTACCGAAAGAGGAACAGCTCTTGTATAGTTACTTTATATAGGTGTACATTGACTTTACATTGGAATACATAGGCTAGAATAGAACCGTAAAGTGACAACATTTACTATCAACATTATCAAATAAAGGCTCGAACTTGGTATACATATGTATAGAGTGGTGTAGTTAGGGGATGGACGGTAACAATATGTATAGAGTGGTGTAGACAGGGGATGGACGTTAACAATATGTATAGAGCGGTGTAGACAGGGGATGGACGGTAACAATATGTATAGAGCGGTGCAGACAGGGGATGGACGGTAACAATATGTATAGAGCGGTGTAGACAGGGGATAGACGGTAACAATATGTATAGAGTGGTGTAGTTAGGGGATGGACGGTAACAATATGTATAGAGTGGTGTAGACAGGGGATGGACGTTAACAATATGTATAGAGCGGTGTAGACAGGGGATGGACGGTAACAATAAGTATAGAGCGGTATAGTCAGGGGATGGACGGTAACAATATGTATAGAGTGGTGTAGACAGGGGATGGACGGTTACAATATGTATAGAGCGGTGCAGACAGGGGATGGACGGTAACAATATGTATAGAGCGGTGTAGACAGGGGATGGACGGTAACAATATGTATAGAGTGGTGTAGACAGGAGATGGACGGTAACAATATGTATAGAGCGGTGTAGACAGGGGATGGACGGTAATAATATGTATAGAGTGGTGTAGACAGGGGATGGACGGTAACAATATGTATAGAGCGGTGTAGACAGGAGATGGACGGTAACAATATGTATAGAGCGGTGTAGACAGGGGATGGACGGTAACAATATGTATAGAGCGGTGTAGACAGGAGATGGACGGTAACAATATGTATAGAGCGGTGTAGTCAGGGGATGGACGGTAACAATATGTATAGAGTGATGTAGTCAGGGGATGGACGGTAACAATATGTATAGAGTGGTGTAGTCAGGGGATGGACGGTAACAATATGTATAGAGTGATGTAGACAGGGGATGGACGGTAACAATATGTATAGAGTGGTGTAGTCAGGGGATGGACGGTAACAATATGTATAGAGTGATGTAGACAGGGGATGGACGGTAACAATATGTATAGAGTGGTGTAGTCAGGGGATGGACGGTAACAATATGTATAGAGTGATGTAGACAGGGGATGGACGGTAACAATATGTATAGAGTGGTGTAGTCAGGGGATGGACGGTAACAATATGTATAGAGTGATGTAGACAGGGGATGGACGGTAACAATATGTATAGAGTGGTGTAGACAGGAGATGGACGGTAACAATATATAGAATCTTAGAGATAAACAAATAATTATGAAAAGCTAATCAAAGTGAAATTACAATAAGTTAAAGTTGGAATCTAGGCCGTACTAATAGACTTAATTGTAGATACTTTCCGAAGTTCCTTTCTGTTACGTACAGATAGCAGCTGGACAAGTTTATATGAAGATGGATGGTTCCAATATTACTTTTAATGAACTTTTTACGAATATCTACATATAGTGGACAGATCAGTACTAAATGGAACATTTCTTCTACCTGGTTTTGGTAACATAACTATAGATAACTGATGGGATGAAAGTCGTAACTTTGATGAAAGTCGTAACTTTGATGAATGTCGTAATCTTGATGGAGGTTTAAGATATCCATCTGGGATAGACTTTGTTAAACAGTATTGCAATATAGAACTACCCAACAAAAATTTATACAAATAGCATTTTGGCGACCGCTCAACAAAATAACAATAGTTTCTTGACACCGCAAATAACAGTTTCTGTGGTAACATTCTTCCATTTCTTCGTAAATTGAAAGGACACAATTATCACATTTAATTAATTTCAACCAATATTTCATTATTCAACATTTCCTAATGAGACATATACGCAGGTGTCCTAATTCCGAGTATACCATTAAAGATGGCGAACTGTCTCTTACATTCGGGAATCTTCTCTAAAAATCAAAAGGTACTTCTTCTACTGTGTCCGCAGCGCTAACGCCCCATGTTTCGCAACCATAATTCAGAACAGGGGAACATATACGCGATGTGTTATTAGACAGGTAGATCTAACTAGTTATAACGTGTTATTAGACAGGTAGCTCTAACTAGTTATAACGTGTTATTAGGCAGGTAGCTTTAACTAGTTATAACGTGTTATTAGACAGGTAGATCTAACTAGTTATAACGTGTTATTAGACAGGTAGATCTAACTAGTTATAACGTGTTATTAGACAGGTAACTCTAACTAGTTATAACGTGTTATTAGACAGGTAGATCTAACTAGTTATAACGTGTTATTAGACAGGTAGATCTAACTAGTTATAACGTGTTATTAGACAGGTAGCTCTAACTAGTTATAACGTGTTATTAGACAGGTAGATGTTACTAGTTATAACGTGTTATGAGACAGGTAGATGTTACTAGTTATAACGTGTTATGAGACAGGTAGATAACGTTATTAGACAGGTAGATCTAACTAGTTATAACGTGTTATTAGACAGGTAGATCTAACTAGTTATAACGTGTTATTAGACAGGTAGATGTTACTAGTTATAACGTGTTATGAGACAGGTAGATCTAACTAGTTATAACGTGTTATGAGACAGGTAGATGTTACTAGTTATAACGTGTTATGAGACAGGTAGATGTTACTAGTTATAACGTGTTATTAGACAGGTAGATGTTACTAGTTATAACGTGTTATGAGACAGGTAGATGTTACTAGTTATAACGTGTTATGAGACAGGTAGATGTTACTAGTTATAACGTGTTATGAGACAGGTAGATGTTACTAGTTATAACGTGTTATTAGACAGGTAGATGTTACTAGTTATAACGTGTTATGAGACAGGTAGATGTGACATATTATGATATATTACTAAACATGTAAATCTAACATATTATGACGTGTTATTAGACAGCTAGACATAATATATTACGAGAACACATAACACCTTTACACCCTTAAACAAATGTCTACACATAATATATCGATGCACTTAAACATGTTGGAATGTAATACCTAGATGCCATTAAATCTGCGTCATATTTCGGCAAAATAATTTCCTTTTTGGAGTGTTTCCGAGATATGTTTGGTGATGTCTGTTTTTGGAAAAAAATATTATCTATTATACCTCTAAATATATATAAACAGGAAGACAAACGAATGAAATTATGAAAAAGTTTGGCATTCTTTCAAATGGTTAATTAAACCCAAACATATTTTCAGGAAATAATATTTTCAGCGAATATCGATGTTTTGACGTTTAAAAGGAAACTGACTTCCTTTCTTGGATTTCTTGGAATTGTTTTGGCTTAACATCGGGTTGGCTATCTTTCATCAAACTGTGCCACAAAAAAAAGTATGTAGGCTTGTGAATGGAGGTATATAACAATCACTGT